TTTTTTAGTTGTTACACGTTGTTGTTACCCTTCTGTCTTTTCCCTTACATTAATAAAAAGATTTACGCAGTAAATGAAGTTCTACAAATTCAACAGGATTAAAAAAAATAAAACACTTGATACTCCGAACAGGTGATTACACACCCTTATGTGTCAACCCCAGTACTCAGCTCACGTCCACAGTGGACAATCTGGTGCATCCCATTATTTTTAAGGGAGCCCAGAGTATGAAGACCGAGCCAACTTATGACTATTATAATAGTTGTTTTGCATATCAGAGAATTTGCTTAATTTCAGTGTATGGAGTCATTAATGCAGTTTAATGTTTTATACTGGTTCATCCAATGCTTGCATGCTATATTCCTATAAAGATTTTCTGCTATTATACCCTCAACTTTACAATTTTGCAAACATGTAAAATAAAGCAGAGACTAAGAATGCATTTGCATTTGCATGTTTACAGTTTCTGAGCTCATATATTCAAGGGTTTGAAGGGTTCTCTCACAGCCCTTGAGAGACTGCCTCAGTCCACCCTCCATGTCAGCCATATTTCATTCAATAAGTAGCTGTAACCGCCACATTAACTGCGCACACATCGAAAGAGCTGCCCTCTGTCATGAATGTGTGTGTCGGTGAGTGTGTGAGAAAATGTGAAGATGCAACAAGGTATTGTGTGTGTATGTTTAATAGATTGAGGTCTCCTCTGCTCTTGGCTCCATTGTTTCACGGTTGTCTTAAAATCTCAGCGAGATATGGACTGTCACACTGACAGGCTCCAGACTCAGACATCCCAGAGAGCCTAAATTAGCACATGATTGGCAGGACTGTTCATTTTCTCCTAGAGTCTGAAGTGCTGTTTAGAGAAAGGTGAGGTTAGCTTGGAGTGTTAAATGTGTATTTTGCTCTTCATCTCCAACACACACTCACTTGGTCTCATACACACACATAAAACCACATATCAATTAGGCAGGGTCATGAAGTTTCTTACACTGAGCACTCCCTTGGGGCCGTCTCGTGCACGCTGACATGCCATTGAAGCGTGTGCATATGTGCTTTCAGTGTAGACTTTGTGGGCTTTTATTAACCCTCTCAGGCTCAAATTAAGTTTTTGTTGCTAATGCACAAAAGAATACGTGCAGTGGTACTTCTGAGTAAAAAAATGGGGTTATCAGGTTGTTAGCTTTTAATTGTTGCAAATCTGCAACGCCTGCCTTGAGAGGGTTAAAGTGGAGAGTAGGAATCCAGGAATCTTGCAGGCAGGATTCCGTGTTAGGACCAGTTCTTATGGTATTATAGTATCCTTCCCTTAGGCAGTATCATTAGAAAGCACAGTATACATTTTCACTGCTATGCAGAAGATACTTTATCTATCCATGCAGCCAGATAACACACAGTTAGTTAAATGCAGGAATGTCTTAAAGACACAAAGACCTGGATGACCTCTAATTTTCTGCTTTACAATTCAAATCTTGGAGACATCGTCTGTAACCCGAGACTTACTCTGAATAGCATGACTGTGGAGCCTTTTCAACCAGGATATGACTTTAAAGAAACATGTAGGATTCTTTCTTGCATTTGCACAATAGCTCTAAAATGACAAACATCCAGTGTCAGAGTGATGCTGAAAAATAGTATATAGAGTTTATACATGTATTATCTCTTGGCTGGGCTATTAAATATGATTACATAATTAGATTTATTTAATTAGAAATTATTTTATAATTATATAGAAACTCTCTGAAAAGACTTTGGTTGATCCAAAATGCTGCAGTGAGAGCACTGACAAGGACCATGAGGAGAAAGCATTTTTCTGCCATGTTGGCTTTTCTTCATTACATAGATTCAAGGGTTTGAAGGGTTAAATCCAAAATCAAATTTAAACTCCTTCTCCTCACATACAAGGTCCTGAATAATCAGGCCCCATCTTATCTTAAATATCTCACAGTATGTAATCACCCACATGAAACACTTCGCTCTCAGACAAAGGCCTACTGGGATGTTTACAAGTAGAATGGGAGGCAAAGCCTTCCGATTTCTGGCTCCTCTTTGTGGAACCAGCTCCCGGTTTGGAGTCGGGATGCAGACACCCTCTCTACTTTTAAGGATTAGGCTCAAAGCTTTTTTCCTTGATAACTCTTATAGTTATAGTGGATCAGGTGAATCCTCCTGTAGTTATGCTGTAATAGACTCAGACTGCTGGGAGCTTCCCATTATGCACCGAGTGTTTTTTCTTCACTCACCTCTTTTTCACTCACTTATGTTCATAAACCAATCTTCAATTAATCATTTGTAATTTTGACTTTATACTCTGACTCTCTCCCACATGTGTTTTTTGCCCTGTCTCCCTCCCCTCACCCCCAACCGGTTGTAGCCAATGGCTACCTGAGTCTGGTTCTTCTGCACATGTCTTCCTCCTATAAGGTGTTTACCTTCCCACTGTTGCAAAGTCCTTACTCAAAGGGGTTGTGCAATTGTTGGGATTTTTAACAATTGCACAACCTGTAGGGTTTGTACCTTACAATATATAAGTTGACTTGACACTATAACTGAATTGAATTGCACTGAACTGAATTCAACAGTGGAAGAAACAAACCTCTGTAGAGCCTACAACGTAACTTTTGTAAGTCGTCGACATCATTGCTGGCTTTTTTGTGCTGGTGCATGATGTGTTAATTACCATGTTGTCGCGTCCCAATGTTTTACATGTGATGACAGGACTTTTTCCCCTCCTGGGTTCCCACACTTGTTGTTTTTTTCAAAGACAAAGAGGTTCGTCATTCCAGTTTTTAGTTTCATAAACCTCCCTAAAGGAATTTCCTAAGATTTGTGAGCCCTTTTTTAGGTGCTATGATTATTATTCTTGATGACTGTTATTCTCTCACTGATGAATTCAAAAACTGCAGCCAATAGTAGCTGGACATGCACAGGAAGACTTGAGAGTACTGAACAGGCCAAACACAATAGTTGCAGACTGCACTGACATGACATTTCGAGGAAGGTGTCCACCAGGTTACATCTGAGGATTTTGCAATAGTATCATAAATCCTGAGTTATGGGTAAGTCCAAAATCGCCCGTAGACATAAAGATCACAGGAGCATGTTCAAAGACTACAGGCCCCAAGAACTCCCGTTTATTTAGCAGTGTTACTTTAAATGTGTGTCTGTACAGTTTTGGGCTCTATGCATTCCCCCTCCCCCACACCTCAGCTCTGAGTGGGGAAAACAATTTTTTTTTATAACTCATCCATATTGAAAATTTGTTTTGTGGCCATGGTGATTGAGAGACATCATAATAGGAGTCTGCTAAGCCTCATTCACTTTAGTAGTCATTAAACTGGACCTCTTCACAGTGTTTGTAGGAGTTTGTTGTGTTTTCCAACTCTGCTGGAGTTGTTTTAATGGATTGTGTGACCAATATTACAAATTGCTGTGGGCTACAGCCCATCCAAGAGACTTGTGCTTCCGTTTTGGTGAGTGACATTCTGTTTATTTATCACTCGGTTACTTTGCACTAATTGCCTTAAATGCGGGCCTGTGCATTGTACTTTTACTGTTTATGAACATGGCTTGCTAACAAAGCTAGCTAGCTGATCAATTAGCATGTCACCCTTTCATCCATACAAGCTAACTTCTGGCTTCAAAAAAAAACAAAAACAAAAAAAAACATGGTGGCTACCAAAATGCTAATGCTGAGCCAGTGGCTGAGGGTTTACACAGTCTGTGGTAAAAACAAAATCATTCCCTACACATATTGTCGACCCGAACAGTACAGAAATGCTTACTGCACCCATCGACAAGGGTCAAGGCTTTGGGATTTTCCTGTTATTTGTCATTAGCAGATAGACACATACTCAATTTGGGCTGAAATGTGTGCAAAATGCTATATATTTTAAGCCTGATGATTTTCCCATTTAATATGGGACAGCCTCTGTTATTCCAAAGTAAAGTAAAGATCCAATAGAATCCAAAGACTCCACATACATTGAGCTCAGAAGAAATATTTGGAGTATTTTGGAGTTTCTCGGTGTCAAATGACAAAGGCTGAACTCGAGCTGCTAATGCTCGTTTGAACGTGCACCGCTTCAACTCTTCTCGCCCAATAACAGATGGAGACAGAAACTAAATGCACACCCCAAAACACACCAGCACCACAAACCCATCAGGCACACCTGCCATGGAAGCTTGATGGGAAAATATATTCCACACAGACGACATGATAACAGAATCATTTCACACTTCACTGATCACCTGCACATTCTCATTGCGCGCATGAGTATGAGTGTGTGTGTGTGAAAGAGAGCGCAGGCGAGGGTTTTCAGTAGGGTCCAGCCTGGTTGTATTCGGTGCATGCGCCTTGATAGACTCCCTGCTCCTC